ATAGGTAAGTAAACTTTTGGTAATAAAATATTTGCACCTTATTTAGGTGAATATGCAAAAATTGGACTCCCTGAAACAAAGCTTGCGATTATTCCTGGGTAAATATCTAAAGTTAGAATCTTTTTAAATAAAATATTCCTTAATTAACTTACGTATTAGCGCTGGCGGCACACAACGATTAACGCGAATTGTTGGGGTCGCGAAGGCAAAAGAATTAATTTTCACGGGTCGAGTGTTAGATCCCCAGAGCGCTCTTGATCTTGGTTCGTACTCACGAATATCAAATACTTTCTTATCACGATTCATTGAACTTAGCAAAACATTTTTATTTTTTTAAGGAATCGTTAATTATACTGCGAAGGAAGGATCCTCTCATCCAATAGCACTTAAGTTAGCAAGAGAAATCCTTACTTGTGGTAAATCTTCATTTTGTTCTTATGCTTCTACTATAATACATATAATGATTAATTAACTTCTATAGGGCCAGTTGCTCTTCGCATGGCTAAATGGGCTATTGATCGTGGCAGTCAGCTTGATTTGTATGCTATTCGATCATATTTTCTACTCTTGTATTACTTATCAAAGTTTTTTTCTGCGGTTTGTTAACTATTCTTTAATACAATAGGGATTCAGCACTAGAATTCGAAAATGCTTGTTATGCCCAAGTCATTCCCACCGAAGATAGAACTGAAGGTAAATCCTTGACCAAATAATAATAATCATTCAAATTTTTATATATTTTTTCATTCTTATTGTAGGTTTACAAGCATTCAGGGACAAAAGATTACCGGTATACAAGGGTCGATAAAATATTTTAATTAAGTTATTAAAATTGTCAATATATAATTCAGCGGGAAATTTTAAAATTTTTATATTGAATACTCTTCAAAGAATATTTTAGAAGTTTCTATTTTAAATAAGTAACCTCTTTATTGTTTTCTTTTGTAAACATATTTTAATTATTTCAATAAAAAAATTATTTATTTGTAGATTACTAAATTTATTAAAATTATAAGAAATATTGTTTTTTTTTTTATACTCATAATCAACTGCATATTGTGGTAGAATGTGACAATACATTATTAAATATAAATATTCTAATACTATACTATAACTAAACAATTAATTCTTATCTAGAATTATAC